TATGCGTTATGATAACATCAATTATGGCACTTGCATCTGGGTCAGGTCGCCTTATAAGAACAATCTACACGAAGAAAACCCCCAACACATCTAATGATCTACAAGCGACAGTGTTGCGTGAGTCATGAGTGCTACTACCCTCGTACATCCAGGACTTCAAGCTGCTTCCCGTCATTTGCTTCCAAAATTCCACGAGTTCACCCACGGGTTTGTCTCAAGCCTCAAAAGTGGGGCCCTATGATTTTCCTTCGACCCCAAAAAGGATTCCTCAAAAATATGCAAGTTCTGCTATCATTCCAGAACCCTCATCATGGCTTTCGCTCACTATACCCCCGGATTGGTGCGCTCGCTGTGAAATAGGCCAGAAAAAGTGCCACGCAATCGCCACCTGTCCCGTCCGAGCCACACTCCGCAGGCTCTTCGGAAGGCGTGCCACAGCCCCGGCCTGATGACAGGGCGACGGCTGGGTGAGTCTTTTTTGGCGGCTCGGGGTCCAAAGACGTGGCAACGTTCAGAGTGTTCACAAGCAATACGCGAAGAAGAAAGGACGCCCAAGCAGTCTATTCCGCGAGCTACAAAGACTGTTGGAAGAAGAAAGACTGGGTGGACGTCCATTTTTCCACCACAAGGCAAGACAGTTGATCCACCCAGTCTTTGTTGCTTGCTAAGTCCATTGCAGCGCAACACTTCACACCTGAAAACTATGCAGTCATTGCCATGTAATGTAGCCCTGCCGGAGAAACCACACATGGTTCTGGAAGAAGATACTCGCCACAGCAAAGCATACTGACAACGTGATACGATGGAAAACCTTCAGGATGTGCGAATCAAACAGCTTCAGCCCCGGACAAAGTTTGTCGCGACCTTGCCTTAGCCTGCGATCCAGCAAAACGAGCCGTGCCACTCGTATTCACGCGCCTGTGGTGGTCACAAATGGCGCGCTTGCGGCCAAAGGGAGCCAGGAGCAGCACCAGCGGGAGGAAGAATCGCCAGAGATTCGCGAGCCTGAAAGGATCTCCGGCACTTGGGTCCCCCGGTGCAGCCAGCCCCCAAGGATTGCTCTCAAATTGCTACGTGGGTGAAATTGCCGGGAGCATACTTATCTGATTTGCGCTTGGATTCTCGCAAGAGATGTGCTTGGGGGGGGTGTGAACACCAAAGAGGACAGTCCCTGATCTTGGCTGGTTGGTCATGGTATTCGACAATGCGATTGGCATCGAAGAACAGGGCCACTTGCCACGAAGAACTAAAATTTGCTCGGGAGTCAAACCTTGTGATGAGACGGTTGTCTCTAAGCTTTCAGCATTGGGGGAGTCCGGAGCAGGGAACGCAATTACACAGGGCGCTGCACGTGCAGCAACAAGCACGACATACTGAGCTGCCTTTCCGTGGTCTGCAAGTACGGCTCTCATGTTTAATCAAAAGCACATCATTCCGCAAAACCAGACTCCGAGCAGATTGCTCTCCGCCACATGAGCATAAAGTTGCAAAGGCAGTGCTTGGAAGTCTGCCGCTGAATCGATGGTTGGCAAAGGGCGGTGTGGCTCTGTTCAGTTCCATGTTGCTTAGGAAAGATTCCCAAACCAAATAAATTCTCTTTCGCATCCGTGCGGTCAAGGGCAATGTCCAGAGCCTGTCTCCCAGTCCCCCGGAAACAGCTTCCCATCCGCCGCGGCAAGCCGGACCCGAACCTCTGCTGCCACGAGACAGTAACTCGACCGTCCGCGAGGTCCACATGGAGAAGGTGTACACCACTCCTTGCGACCGTGACCGTCTGGGTTGTCTTTTCATGATTAGAGTTGGGCCCAGTTATAGAATGTACATTTTATTGGTTGCTTCAATTTGAGTCACTGGTAAAATGTAAAATGTATCCTAAGTATACCCCAGTTCTGGACGTGTAGAAAATGTCCAGCCCCCTCCCGACATCCTTCCCACAAACGAGTTGTCTGGAGCGAAAGAAAGCCGGCCATCCGGGCCTCCGGGCATCTGCAGACCCGGTTTGGCAGTTCGAAGGAAAGGTAATCTGACCAGATGTACAGGAGCCGGCTTCCGGTTGTTTCAAAACGAAAATCAGGACCCCAGGATCAATCTTGAACCCAACACCGTCCTATAACAAGGTTGCTGCAACCCTAAAAGCGCAAACTCTCATGGAAACCGAACCAGGTGCTAAGATTCCTCTCACTGAAGCAGAAAGGAAACCACTCAAACCCGCGATTGCGTCAGTCATATTGCTCTGCCTCTTCAGGAATTAGCCTAGGAGCTCAGCCCTCTAACTCTGGCCAGCCCACAGGGAGGACTGGTAGTTGCACAGAAACCCATGCAAGTGAAAAGTTTGCGGACGGTTGTCAAACATGAGCAGTATCGTAATGTAAGGGCGTATCAGGACTCTTCCTCGCATAAAGTGCTACACCCCAAAGCTTAACTTCCCTGAGGAGAGACGGCCAATCTGGCAGCAAATGCAATGCTAAAGCGAGAGGAATCAACGGTCAGGGGTCTTGGGATACCCTTCCTCCAAGAAAACATGATCAGGACAGTCTCACAGGGAGCCTTGTCTGAAGAAAAGTAGCCCATCTCTGGATGGCGTGACAGATTCCATGCTTGAAAAAGCTTAGTTTCCACCTTCCAACTCAGGTTCCTTTTTGATCCATCGTAGCCAACTATAGCCGTGGACAACCTCAAATGGACCTTGGAACATTAAGGAGCTGTCCTCTTGTTTGTGGCAACATTTAGTACCCCAGTACTGTTTTTGTCTCTACAAAAGCATTTTAGAAGACGCGTTCCCATTTGCATGCTTGCCTGATCCAATGTAAAAAGCGCTGCCAGTCCCTCTGACAATGTTGTTCTGATGTTGCTATCTCGCTCTCAGGCGAGCTGTCCCAAACCTGCTTTAGTGTGTACCAATCTGGGCGGGCGCTCACGTAGTAAGTTGACAGAATGATGGAACGGACTGCCAGCAGCAGCATCTCAGCCAGGGCTCCCATGCACTTGGCGCTCTCGGTGGTGTTTGTCTCGTAGCCCGTGAGGGACTTATGAAACGCGTACTGCCAGCCGCAGTAGCAGTTCCAGCCTGGTGCAAAAGACAATGCAAATGTCAAGTCGTAAACAACACAAGGCGGCCGCCTGAAGTTTGCCTGTCAAGTCATGGCGCCATAGAATTGCGGCTTCTTGCAAGCAGTGGCAGTGGAGTCAATTTCGTCGGCTCACACACGAGTTGTGTGGAGCAAGAACAGCGGCTCAAACAGGGCACTCTGTAGTCTGTGCCGCACCAATACGCCGAGCCATTTGTTTTGCCGCGCAAAAGGGGACGTTTCACTAAAAAATCTTATGAGCGCGTGGGCAGCTGCAGGCCAAGAGCGCTGCAGTTTCTCAGCCTTGAATCATGCAAGCGTATTGTCAAGACTCCCTGTAGGGTGTCCATGCCTTTGGAGGCAATGATAGCTCGAGTAAAAATGAAGGTACGCAACTGCAAGTGTTGCTTTAGTACCAAAAGGTCAAACACCTGGAATAGTTTCGTGGACTGCGCCGACTCCCGAAAGGACGCACTTGCCACCAGTCCTAATTCCAAGGACCAAGCCGCCAGCTTGTGTGACCCACTACGGGAATCTTTGATTGTCATCACTATCTCTCAGATGCCCAGGGCATCTTTTTTGTGGGTTAAGTTTAAAGCGAACCCTTCCCAAAAAAGGAAAAAGGGCACCACTGGGCAACTGGGATCTGACTATGAAAGGAAGAAACACATCATGAGGCCAGTCTTGCGAGCAGTCGTCTCTGCACCATGCGCCTCTGTCAAAACATCAAAACTCTGCCTGGCGTGGGTCATGGGCAGGGTCCCTTGATCAAATCCCTTGGAAGTGTGGTAATCCCCGATTGGCAGGTTGATGACCACCCTTGTCAACCAAGCAACCTGAGAACCAAACTTGGGCAAATTCGAACGGTTAAGTGCCTGAAGGAAATCCAAAGCTGAAGTTACAAAAGGGGGATAACACTATATATACTCGCGGAACCCTTCGTGGGGCAGCTGCTCTAATTTGCGTGGATTCCTGCCCCACAAGCAATAACACGAACGTGAACAGGTTCCAACCCGACCCATTTACAAAGGGCTCCAGTACTTGGTCAGTCTTTGGGTGTATGTTCCGGCTATCATATTCCCGTTGCGGATCAAATGGACTTCCAATTCATATGTTTTAGGGGAAGTCCCCCCTTCTACGGCTCCAAAGGGAAACAAAGGAGGTGTCCCCTTTTTCTTGGCGGCACCGGCAACCATTTGGGGGTTGTTCAAAATTACTTCTCCTGCAAACTGCCCTTCCGCCGCCCCTCCGCAAACCTTTAAATCTACACACAAGTTATCGCTGGTTTTCGATCAATGTTTTCGAATATTGGCCCTTCCGCATCTCTTCCGCCGCCCTTCCGCGTCTCTTCCGCACACACAGTGGGAAGCTCATACATGGGTTATAGCACGACGCCCATTTGGAGCCAAACTCTGCCCTTATTTTTTGGCAACATGCCATTCGCGCCTGGCACCATACAGCTGGCTCCACTGATGTCCAGGCGCCTCTCCTCAGTTGCGGTTGGCTCGGATTCCGGCAGAATACGCACTTCAGCTGTACGCTCAATGGTCTTCATAGAAACCAGCTACTGAAGATTGTAGGGAATTGGCCAAATACTCACCAAAGCCAGGGATTTCCCTCGGAACTTCCTGTAGCTGGTTTCTGAGAGGTCCGGGAATGGTTACTAACGCAAACTCCCACACAATCTCAGTACCCTCCCCGTTCTCCATGGAATGTCAAAAGTACAAAACATCGCAGGGACAGATTCAAAACTTCAAAGGGGAACCACGCCTACATGAACTGCATACTGGGTCAAAGACAAAAAATGCCTCAGTGAGACGTACGTGTGCCTGAAATTCAAAAGCAAAAAAGGATGTATGCACAACTTGGGTGAAAGCTCTAGGAAGAGGTCTGGTTGCCGCAGACATAGGCTGCTGGGAGGGGGGGGAGAATGATATGGCAAGTGACTCGGGCTCAATAAGTGATGGTTGGGTCGAGGCAAGCAGCCCGACGTGTTCATAATAAATCACACTTTCAATCATCAAGCAAGCGGTGCTCAACATGTTTAGTATGTCGCTAGTTGACTTGAAATCAGCTTCTCGGTAGCGCCGCACAATGCGGAAGACTGATGCGTGATCTGCGCCAGGAGCACTTTCACAACGCTGCACGATCTAAACTCACAGGGATTCAGCCTCGCCGGCGACTCGCCGGCTCAGCACTCCTCTCTGGCATTTGGTGGCTGTGGGTCAAAAATCGGTACCCCAAATGGAACCCTGGTACGTGGAAACATGGACCAAAACCTGCGGTCCCCTGGTGGTTTGACTTTGACCCATACCCTGGTATTGCCAAGAGGCACACTCCATATCACTGACACACCCGTACTGCGAGCAAGTGCCTCCGCGGCGAGTGCATGCTTCGGATGGGAAAAGGCCTTCTAAGCTGAGCAGATCGGAAACATCAATCAGGTTCCCTGGTCCAAAAGTTGGGGGAGAACACTAGGACAAACCAAAGCGTCATGTGCTTGACAACTCAATCCAGCTGCTGATTTACTAGCGTGAGCAATCATAACACCAACAAACACAACATGCGTTGGGTCTTTCCTGCGTCACACGGCTTACCATGTCGTGCTGTGTTTGGTCGGCGGATTGGTTGGGCATTACCTGGTTTGACATGGGGACAACACCCTTTTTGGAACATGCTGGGACCAATGCAAAAGGCATTGAAACTTCAGGATATCAGCTGCATGACCAAGCACGCTGTTGTACAAGCTATTCAAAATCTTGCGGATCCCCCTTTCGAGAAGCACACAACAAATGTCGTGAGGACAAATCTCGTCCTCAGACCAACTGTGATGAACAAAATCCTCTTCGCACCAAGTCTGTGGCTTCTGCCAGTATGGTTGCATTCATCCCTTTTGTCCATCCACGGTGGGCTGGCATCAGTGCGGACCCTTTCCGGCATCATGTCGGTTGCCATGCAACAAGGAACCGGAAAGGAGTTGCCGGACCTGGAAAACCAATGATTGCGTGTCTAAAACTCAGGAGTCGCTCAGCGATTTGCAAGCTGTACCCGGTGTCCAAAAAGTATTGGGTGGTTTCGTCTGGGTTTCGCCGTCCCCGACAAATGACGTTGCAGATCAGACCCCCCAGTCTCTGATTCGCACCCGGCCGCAGTCCCGGTCTCTCGAGCCTTGCATAAAGTGCAGAGTGTCCGTAATGCCTGCGCTCTTCCAGCCCTCATCGCAAAGGCAGTTCTTCAGCTCAGGGTCCTCGTGCCTGGGAAACTTCTCACGAGAAGAAGCCCCGTGAACACGGCTGGGTCACTTGCGATCATCTGAGAATACAAGGATGTGGCCGCGAACAGGTCTCTTCTTCGAATGTCAGAAAAAAAACATACCAAGTCAAATTTGCAACCGGCCAACGGCTCCGCCCAGTTTGGTTGCTATAAGGCCAGAAGTCTCACCAGAATCTTGCAGCGTATATTCCCTCAGACTAACATGGAAGCTCCCAGAATGCCTCTATAAATGGACCCAAGTCTTCCAAGGGGGCCCTGGGAGCTTCCATGTTAGTCTGGGGGAGGGTATCCCTCCCCAGAAAAGCGCTGAAGCTGCCAAGATGCCCATGCCCGCCTGAGCGGTTCGTATTATGAACGTATCAGGCGGAAGCGGGAAAGCTGGCGAGAGTCAGAACATGTGCTCTCCATACGTGGAAAACAAAAGCAAGGCCGAAAATAATGTGTTCAAACCAAAGTTGTCCGTTTGGGGTGGAGGAAAACAAGGCCTTGGTGGGTGAAACACCTGCAAAATACTGTGCTCAAACCAAAGTTGTCAGTTTGGGGTGGAAGCGCGCACACACTTGAGGAAGCACCATCGACAATGACGACTGCAAAAAACATTGCCAGTGATATGCAGTGGAGGTTGTGTTTTGGGCTTGGCCGTGTGTTGTGTTTTGAGGCATTGATGCCTTTGGTTTGGGCAACTTGATCACAAGAACACGCTGTTTTGTGTGTGCATATACATTTATATGTGCTTGTGATACATTGCAGACCCAAACTTACAGCTTGTATGATCCCGGGTCTGGGTTGGCCTCTCTTTCCGGGAGCTGGCAAGCCCGCACCTTTGCCAGACCCACGCTATCGTCAGATCCTCAGCATCCTCAGCACCCCGGGCACCGGCGGCAGCCCCTGCATCCTCTCTCTCCCTGTAAGTTTCCAGCAAACCCAAAACCTTCATCCTGGACCATCTCTGGAAGCCCCGACCCACCCACGCAACCACCACACAATCCCTCAACACCGGCTCTTCAACAAACCCAGCTTGCCTTCAACCAAGCCTAAACCCATGCCAAACTAAGCTTCTGCCGACTCTAAACCCTTAAATAACATGACCGGCAAACCGTATCCCATTCTTGACAAGCCCTGGAACAACCCAAAACTGATCTAGAAGCGAAGCCAAACCAACCTTAAGCCAAGTCTACACCCTTCATTCGAAACCAATCCTCAGCCCATCCTTGGCCAACCAAGAAGCAACCCCTCAGCCCCAAAAACCAGCCTAGTCCTCTCAACTAGACCAACCCGTGGTCAGCCTTAACCGCCCCCACCCCCAACCACTCCACAGGGGGGAGGCGGGACCAAACTAATTCTTAAATTACAGGTGGGACGAGGGGTGGGGAGACCCCGACCATTCTGCCCGGAGAGGGGGGAGTAACTGGGGGGCAAGCCCCCAATCGCATGTAATGATAGATACTTATTAACTTATAGATAGACACAGATTCATGCAAGCTCCTTGGTATGTGTTCTGAGCGCATCCGCTGAGCACTCAAGAAAGGCGCTACCAACAAGCTGAATCATAACAAATGCCGCTAGCATCATGGACCGCCTGACACAAATCCCGACAAGCTCAGAGTGGAACTCGAGCCAAGCTGACCACAGATTGCCAATCATACTCTGCCAAAAGAAACACGTGAAAACAACACACAAGAACCCAGGCCGCGTTGCATGCTTTGCCAATTCTACTTGGATGGTGCGAAATTGCCTTTCGTGCCAGGTGCATTGCATCCGAAAACTCAGGAACCCAACTGCTGCTCAATTTCGCTTCCAACTAGGCAAATCACCGATTTCGCCCGTGGGATGCTTTGTAATGCAACTCAGAACACATCGATTTGAACGCAAAGTGCAACTCCGCACATGGTCACTTTCCAACCTTTGAAGTCCAAAACAGGGATCCGGATGCAATAGAAACACCTGAACATTGCAACTTGTAAATGGTGGGGTTTCCCTTTATTTTGGTGGTAAAAGCAACATGTTGCACATGGTTGCAAAATGAAGTTATTTTAAGGAGCTCTGAAACATCTTCCAACAATCAGCCCGCCAAGGGCTGGGTATGTGATAGGCACGGGGCAACAGGTGTGGCTTCGGCTCGATTTCGAAGGACGCGGGAACAAGCTTCCACCTGGTATCAAGCCCCAGCCGCTGAAGCAAAATGTTCACAGGACTGTGAGGCTGTCCTGGTTCCAAGCCAGAGAAATCAGACTTGCAGGTCTCCGTATTATGTTGATGGATGTTGGTTTCTCCGGGTAGCCACCTGCAGTAGACCCCCCACATTCTCATGCGAGGAACAATCCAACTCCCCTGCGCGGGCCAGCGTTAGCAGCGCCAGCACACCTGGCAGCTTAAGGCTGGGCCGTCCGATGTTGGCAGCCTTCTTGACACCATAGTTACAGTGGCAAGGGTAAACCACGTGGAACCAGGAAAAATGATCTCACCTAGTGGAACAAGCGCAATAACTGAAATATATGTGATGCTTGACAGATTCAAAGGTAGCGTCACTTGACTTGTGACTATGCCCCGCAGCATTCAGCATGCTGCTTTTTCCCCGAAACCTGCGGACCTGCTGCTTGCCGAAAGAGCGAGCTCTGCTCTCTCGGACCATGGAGCACCCTCAGCTGGTTTTCAAAACCCAAGAAGGGCACCATTGGGAGAATCTGATCCGACCTGAAACGATGCAAAGGCTTCTAGCGAGCTGTCTCTTGAGTCACCAAGTCTTTGGTCAGCTGAATCATGCTCTGGTGCCAAAAGTTTGGCTCCAAAATGAGTTGATCACTCCAAAGCTCTCACGATGCTGCTCCGAGTCGGACACCCGTGTAGTGTCTACTTGGAGAAAACTTCCTCATGGATTTCCTCATTTCTTGAGAGCACCACTCCCCACAAGAGTCTTCCAAACTGCATCCTATACGCGCCCAAACTCAACTGTACGATCAGAAAGTGGGTGATTCACCGTGGAGCTCAAAAGAGCCTCTTACTAGATCCTGTTGCAGGCGAAATGGAAAGCTTGAGACCTACCGCAATTGGAACCAAAGGGGATATACGAAAGGTGCAACGCATATTCTAAATGATTGCCGTGTGCATCAACCTAATGATTACTCATGTTCATGGAGATCATGCTTATTGATTGATAATGGGCCTCTTGATGTTGGTCAGTTGCTTCCCGTACGAGAAGCTGGACACGGAAAATGCATCGATTCAGTAGTCCACCTGCAATCGGTGGATGACACAAGTCTGACAGGGAAGTGACTATGGTGCAGCCAAGCATGGCTCTCAGCGTGACGCGTGCCAAACATGGCATTTTGAGACTGACCCTTTTCAGACAATGGTTTCGCTTGATTGCACCCTTCTTCCAAGGTCCAGTAGAATTTAGTGCCTTTGTCTTGAATATTTTGAACGCTGGGAAAAGGCAAGCATCTATAAAGGAATGGACAATGCATCTCAATGAAGCAAGTTGTTGAATTGTCATGGGAGCAAGAAAGAACACTCCGAATGTATCCGACGTTGACGCTGTGCCATCTTTGTCAGAGTGCAAACAGCACAGGAGAATTGCCAACCCCGAGTCAACCAAGTCACCCAGCCTGCACGCGCCATAAGGCCATGCGCAGGCTCTGGCCCAAAAGCGAACAATCTGCTTTCTGGTGTTTGGTGCAACTGTTGAGTGTGGTCTCGTGCCAGCTACTGCAGATGCTGCAACTTTCAACAACTGTCCCGGGAATGGTTGTTTGCTCCTTGAAAGACGCATAGAGTCACGGTCATCGTGAACACAGGACCGAATTTCTACTTTTTGCGGCTGCGGTGGTTGCTGAGCGCCTCCTATCCTCACCGCTTGGTCTTGACTTGTGGCTCCGTCCTCGCCAGAAAGGCACGCGGAGCGACTGGTGACTGGACATGGAAAAACGGCCGCGAAGCGGGAGAGCCATCAAATCCAAACGCTCCCCTGAGGCTCGGAGCAATCGCCTGTAGCGTGCCCTCAAGGAACCCTCCAGGTTTTTTTGAAACAAAAATCTTGCTGATCAGGGACCCACAACTTTATTCACATGGCTGCGCGTTCTGATCGGGTACCCGCAACCACAACTTGCTCCCTGGGGCTTCTTGGGGCATCCCTGTCCTTGTGCTTGCAACAAGGTCGGCCGGAGCAACCTCTTAGCTTTGAAAAGGACATCCAGATGAAACCAATGGACAGGGTCAGCGAAACCAATGGACAGGGTCAGCTGAAAGACACATACCGATCCAGTGACTTCGGCAAAAACTCTTTTGGGGGGAGACATCAGATGTGCCAGCAATTGGAGAAACACTCCGCTGGCAAGCAGTTTGCCCCATGTTTTGGTGGCCGCTCCAGACTCAAAACACATCAGGTTGCGAGGTTGCCTGGGTAGCAATGCCAAAGCAGAAGCGCTCATCCAGTGTGCAGCTGCGAAATGAGTTGCAAGTGTGAGCGTAACATGTCGCTGGATCGGCGTCCAGCGGGCATTTGCTGCTGGGCTTCTGAAAAAGGTAATCTATAAGAAACACTTCCTTTAACCATCCTTAGACCCTCCACGCATAGGGGGGTCCCACAGAAACGAGCTTGGCCAAACAGCGTTTGCCCCGCGTCAACGACCAGCCGGGCGCCCAGCAGAGCCCCATTTTGGAGAGGCGCTGGGCCTTGGGTCAGTTCTGGGTAGACCGATTTAGGCCGCTGCTATTTAGGATTGTCCCTAACCTTCATCTACCCGGGTTTTGATTGTGGCTCATTGGTTTCCCCGTGGGCAAAATTCATTTTACTCTTGGAATGCATAAAATCGCACAGAATCCGAACAGGATAAACCACCTAAACTGGTGCAGGATTGTGTGAACAGCCTCAAACTGCTGGTTTTTGCTTGTTGGCTTCTCTTGAACAACCAAAGGATATCCCAACCTTAGGCCTTCAGCGCATCATCTTCTCCAACAGACCCGCCCGAGGAATGTTCCCGACACAAGCTGACTGGCAACCATGAAGGCGAAACACTTGTCAAAGGCTCCTGTTCACGCACATTGAGAGAGCTGGATTTGTGAACCTTGTTCTTCTGGTCATTAATTTCACACAGTGCTTGCGTGGCTTGAGAGGCCTGCAATCTAGCATTGGAGCCATAAGGGGAGAACTAGCAAGAGAGTAGCGCTGTCCAAAAGCCTTAAACTTCTTAAGCAATGGCACATTCGAGGGGCAGCCTTGGCCATCGAACGGCTTGAGACACTGTAAGTACGCTCGCCGTGCCAATCACTTCAAATATAACTCAGATTACGTGACAAGAGCGAAAATCCATGTGCACTGTTATGAAGGCACGCATGCATGTGTGCATTGATGTGTATTTATGCATATATATATATATAGATAAACACATACACACAACAGACATGTGTAACCTACATGACAGATAAGCACTGGTCAGCTTCATGGCAAAAACGCCTCGCACCCAAAGATCGCAGGCATTTGTGCACCTGCCTGGACAAGCCAGCGCGCTCCTCGCGAGCGGAAATCCGAAACGAAACAAAAAGAAGACAAACACGAAAAGGAAACCCGCCAGGCTTGATGAAAAAGGGGATTGCCAGCCCAACAAAATTGGGAAACCACATGTCGAAAAGGGGAGGACGCCTACAAAGGGAAAGCTCCGCTCAAAAACCAAATGGAGTTGGTTGCGATGGCCTGAGCCTCGGAGACCGCAGCTTGGCAAGCAACGCCCGGCAAGGTCCCGGTGGGCATATGCAACAACAGCGTTGCGGACATGTCCCAAGTGGTTTAAATGGTCCGAAGTGTTCCGAAAACACGAGTGGCGGACATCTCCTTTTAGTTAAAATGTTCGAATTCGCTAAGCAGAGAAACCCTGGCCTTGGAGCGGTCCATTCTCATGTTCTAATGGCTCATGCCAGTTTACAACCCTTGGATTCCTCCATTCCTGACAGTGTATTGACCCGGAAGGACGAGTGAAAAGTCTGCAAATGCCCGGCATACCCCACGATGCCCTTTTAATCTGGTCATAAATATCAGCATTGCATACTGTCTGTCTACAACAATTCTAAAACCTGAAATAAGAATGCCCAAGTATAGGGTCTTCATCGTGGTCAGCTCGTTTGACTCCCACACTCCCACATGAGCTCGCCATAAAATACACAATCTTGTTGATTGCAGTGCTGCAGTTGCCCAAACTGCGGGGCACTTCTAGAAATGCCAGTCCTGCAAAGGCGCCATCCTGGCAAAGGCCGGGCAAATCTGGCGGGAAGCAACGTTTGAATTGGTCTACAAATCTGCTAGACCAACTCTCCGTCGGTCCGAGCTGAATTCAAACAACCGAGGGCTGGAACTGATATTCTTGGGCAGAGCCAAGTCAACCAGCAAATCAAATCGCATGAGACAGAATCGCTACCACTCATGGTATCTTGGTTCGACAGGGGTTCCCTATGACTGTTCAACATCCCTGACAGGAAACTCACTTGGTTCGCATTTGAAATGGACCATAGTGTGAATTTCGGGTACCTCTGATCTATCGCGCATTAATTGCATGAACATCTTTGAGCTTCTGCCTTCTTGGCCTACTTGTGGGTTGATGGCTTGGTCTGCCTTCATGATCACGCCGGTGTGCCAAGTAAGCAGCTCTGTTCAGCTTTGCGCAGCCCGAAACTCTGAAGCAGCAAATGACTCTAGACTCGCGCTAGTGAAAAGGCTGGCAAATTTACAGCGCATCCAAAGAGGTCGCAAAGAGTAGAGCATGATGCACGCCTTCCGGAATCGGACAGCCCACGCTGAATCCGATCGGCCATTCCGCCCGCCTCGGGACTGGCTCCTGCCGCGCGCATGCAACAGCTGAAGGCTATGAGGCTCGATTTCTGGCATCTTCGGCCCAGAAAGGTAGCCTGGGTAGAACCAGGTCGACTCAACTTACATGTGCATGGCTCATAAGTAGGGCAACCGACCACCTACAAGCAGCTCAAACATCCGAAGCCCACCAACAAAACAAAACTGCTGAACATAAAAGATGAACGGGCACTCAAATCATGGCTCGCCAGCCACCCTTCACCAGCATCCATATCAACATGTGTGTACATGTATCTAAATATACCACATGCTTCTGAAGAACTTGGCACAACCCAGGAGTTCAACAGAGATGTCTGGCGCTGCCTGCTGATTTCTGGCAGTTGCAGCAGCATCAATCAATGCTCGCAGTCCCGAGTTTGAGGGATGGGTCGACAAGCTAAAACAACTTCCCGGCTTTGGTTGATGCCACCATCCTTGTTGGTGATCAAATGTTCTATCTTAGATATGCCACAACTCGTATTGGGTCAACCTGCAAGGTGATAAAGCTGACCTCAATCTTGTGCCCCTTGATTGGCCACAGAATGCAGGCAACCACAAATAGAAGCCAATTTGGTTTAGTGTTGCGCAGCGGGGGCAGCCCCGTCGACGTGCGGTGAATTTGCAGCAACACGGCGAGAACATGTGACCCATCAATGACAAGCTTGGGTATCTGGGGGTCGGGTATCGATTGTTTGGCTGCGCCTTGACTTGTGGGCGACATCTTGCCACCCCGCAAACTCTGCTTAGCATACATAAGAACTCACTTGGAATAGAGGGAGGAACGCACTTTCCCTTGCTTGAGTGGCATTCAGGGCCCATCCACGATTCATGACTTTGGGCCAATTTGAGGTGGTCCATGTGGTTGTTCCTGAAACAAGGGACCGCAACGTGTCGCTTCAAACTTGAATCACCACGAACAAAGGGCTGAATTGGTTTGGTTCCCCTTTACTATTAAAACATCTTGCACCATCCAAAAGGAGGGTCCTACGAATCCGACCAGTCGCAGGCTGGTCGGAAAGCGGAATTCGCAGAAGTTGCTGCCTGCCAGCTAGTTGAAAGAGCAAAACAACCAGCACTCTGCGGGGGCAAACCAAATCCATGTGAATCACCTCACCTGTCAAGCGCATATATCAATGGTCACCCATCAGGGATGCGTCATGGCTTCGAGCCTTTTCTGGCCTCAAGAGGAGTCCACAAAGGATTCCTCGGATGGGCGTGTCAGCCATGGGTGGACGCTTTCTTGCGGACCCTTTGACCCTTCTAAAAACCATGGGATTTTCCAAGCTCAGAACCCTTTTTCGATCCGTCGGGAAAGATCAATCGGCTCCTCGAAGTTCAGGAAAGGCATGGGTTCCTAGCCGCCGCTGGGTTCCGACTGTGGGACAAGCCTCGATACAGCCGTCCTGTTCAGATGGCAGCCTTAGATCCCTCGCTTGCTTTCGGGTTCCTTGCATTTGCTCCTTTTCCGTCAATCCAAACGAAATCCAGCCCAGGCGATGTTGCCAAGGATCCGAAACCATGGACAAATTTCATGTATGAAATATGAAATAGATATATTATACGTCCTTCAGGAAAACAGAAGTCTTGCCCTCTTGCGGCTGTCTTATAAAAGTTTGAAATCACATGAACAGGACAGCTCAGCATCTCAGCACGGTTCACACATTGCCAGGTTCTGGGCGATTTGCCACTCTCCCCAATGGGGAGGAAAGCTTTGCCCACCGATGATCCATGGTCCCGGCTATCCTGGCCACTCCAGGAGAAGTTTATTGTGAGGAAGTCAGAGTTCCCTATGCTTCTTTGTACCCTCCCATGCCAGTTTGTCCT